CTCAATGTCCCAACCCTGGTATATCGGAGAGAGCAGGTCATGGGCAGCAGGAACCACTCTCTCCAAGGAGCCCAGCCAGGAGCTCCCATCCTATTGGGAATGGGTTGGGCACTGTTCGTGGGAGGGCCACCTGGGAAAGCCATCTGAAGAAGGCCCTGGGGCAGTGTCCACATATTGGGCATGCATAGGGAGGGTCTGGGACTCCTGTGCCAGCCAGACCATGACCACCACAAGGCCCTGGCAGGCCAGATCAGGGAATCAAAGAAGGGGACAGAAAATGGGACAAATAGCTGAGGGGATGGCAAGTCCAGGATCACTACCACATCCACCTCTTTGCTCAGCAAATGGCCAGGCGCTGTGCTGGGCTAACGGCGGAAAAGGCCAGTGTGTCAGTTACCTGTGGCTGCTTAACCAGTGACCCCAAGACAGGCAGAGAACAGCAGCAAGCATTTCTTTCCTCTTTTTTTTTTTTTTTTGTGGTACTTGGGAATGAACCCCGAGTGCTCTACCACTGAGCTAGGCCTCTAGCCCCTTTTATTTTATTTATTTATCAGAGTCAGGGTTTCACTAAGTTGCAGAGGCTGGCCTGGAACTTGCAATCCTTCTGCCTCGGCCTCCCAGGTAGCCAGCATTACGGATAGGTGTGCACTCCCACACCTGGCAGCGACAATCATTTCTTACCTCTCAGTTTCTGCAGGTCAATGACCCAGGAGCAAGAGGACACAATGATACACACCTGTAATCCCGGAGACCCAGGAGGCTGAGGCAGGAGGATCACAAGTTCAAGGCCAGCCTGGCCAACTTCAGTTGAGAACTTGTCTCAAAAAAAGAAAAAAAACAAAACGGGGGAGACTATGGATGTAGCTGAGTAGTGGAGTGCCCTGGGTTCAATCTCCAGTACCAAAAAAAAAAGGAAGAAAATCGCGGGTGACTAACACAGATCACTTTGAGGACACCATGCTGAGTGAAGAAAGCCAGCATGGAAGGACAAACACCGTGTGGTTCTGCTTGCTTGAGGCCCCTCGAGCGGCAATCAGAGAGCAGGCTGGAGCACAAAGTTTGAGGAGCACGGGAATCAGCATTTGCTGTGGACAGGGTCAGTTTGGGGAGTGAAGGTGCTGAGTGCCCCAGACTTTGTACCTGAAAATGGCCGAGAGCACAAATTCACTTATGTGCATTTTACCACAATACGGAAAATGAGCAGCCAGGCCCCAAAACTTATTCTCTTGTTGATTTGGGCGGTGCTGTGGATTGAACCCAGAGCCTCCTGCAAGCTTGTGGGGTGAACCAACGCGAAGCTCTTTGCTGCTGGTCTGCACCCTGCCCACACGGTGGTCTGCTGACAGCCAGCCCTGAGCTCTGATGAAAGTGGCACTCCACTCCTCTCTCAAGTCTGCACAGGAGGTCTTCCTGCTTCCTTCAAGATGTTCACACACACACACACACACACACACACACACGTCACACCAGGGCTTCTGGGCTCACCGCTGCTGTGAGGCAGTGGGAAGCCGCTGCTTCTCCACATACAGAGCCTTTCCCCAGCAGCACCTCCCCAGAGGGACCCCTCCTGAGGCCAGCAGCACCATCACCCCACAGAACAGGACCGCCCGTGCTGGGGCATCTGGCCACTTGTGCTGTTCCCCTAACCTCCGTTGCGACCATTCTGCATTTTCTACCAAGGTCCGGGGAGCCCTCTGGGAAGAGTGTGGGAAGCCTTCTGGGTGGCCCAGTAGGCACAAGTGGCTGAGGCCCGCTGGGAGGGTGGGGTGGACAGCCACGGCCACAAAGACACACTTGTTCCCAGACACAGGCAGGCCTTGTTTGTGGAGCTGTTTGCTGGTGGCACAGCTGGGGCACAGAGTGATGGCCCCTGGTAATCCCATCCACAAAAGGGTGTTGCTGGGTGCGTGACTGGAGCCCCCTCCCCCCGCGGATCTGGGATCAGAATCTTGCCCAGTGTGGGTGACCCCTCCCCTCCTCCTTGATCGGATCCTCTGCCTGGGCCCCACTGGGGCTGGCACTGCCAGACACCCCCTCCTTCCTGTTGACCTGTCGGGGAGGGGAGGCCAGTGGGGTGAGTGGTTAAGGATGAGCCTGTTGGAATGAGGGAAATTGCATTTGAATCCCAGTTAGGTAACCTGGTTCCTCTGTGTCTTGTGCTTGGTCCAGGCTGGCATCTCAGGGTGCTGCTAAGTCCACCCGAATGCTATGGCCAGTGTTCAGTGTGTGGTTATAAATGCACCCTCGGGGGCTGGGGCTGGGGCTGAGCGGCAGAGCGCTTGCCTAGCATGCATGAGGCACTGGGTTTGATCCTCAGTCCCACGTGAAAATACACAAATAAAATAAAGGCATTCTGTCCATCTACAAGAAAAAATTTAAAAATAAATAAATGGTCACCCTCTAGTTTGCAGACCCTGGAGAGTGACAGCCTCACATTTAGGGTCAGCAGCCAAGGGAGCGTGCAGGGCCAACTGCCCTAACACTGTATGATCTTTGACCCACTACTGGGCGGATGGGGTCAGTGGCTCTGTCCTGCTCTTGAGGAGGGTCATGTAAAGTGGTGGAAAGTCCCTTGGAAAACACAGGGACAGGGCTGGAGTTGTGGCTCAGAAGTAGAGCACTTGTCTACCATGCGTGAAGCCCTGAGTTCGATCCTCAGCACCACATATAAATAAATAAAATAAAGATTTAAAAAAAAAAAAATCTTAACATGAAAGAAAGAAAAGAAAACACTGGGACGAATCCTGGGAGCCCAGAGGCCTACGCCTGCAGGTCAAGCCAGGGTACCTCCGAACCAGCTGCTCCTGAGTGGGGGCTGGCTTAGGCCTCTGGGTCTGGTGCTCAGGCCTCCTCGGCTGTTCAGGGAGCAGCATGGGGAGGGAGCTTCTGAGGAAGCAGGTATAAGTCCTGGGGGGGCGCTGTGACCCAGCCTGGAGACAGCAGCCAGAACCCCTACCAGGCTGGTGCAGGACTAGCCCTGCTGGTACAGGTGGGTGGGGGACCCTGCGGAGTGGCTGCGAAGGCCTGGTGGTTTCCATCCAACCCCCAAGGTCAAGCATCCCTAGTCCAACAGAGGTCTCTTTGGAGCAGGTGGAGTCCAGGGCCCAACCGTCTCTTGAAGGAGCAGTCTGCCAAGCAGGAAACCCGTCCCTAACCCATTGCCTGTTAGGCCCAGCTCCCTATCTATGGGGTCCTAGCCAAGGCAAAAGCAACCTCTGCTCGCCTTAGAGGGAGGTGACTGCCACATCCAGTTCATAGTTCAAAGGACATGGACGTCCCCAGTTCCCTTTGGCCATATCCTGCAGGAAACACTAGGCTCAAGATGCCTGCCTGGGACGTGAGGCAGGGCTTTGGAGGCCCAGGGGCCAGGCCTCTACTCAACCAGCAGAGGACACAGCCTGTGCAGCTCAGCCCCACCAGGTGCAACCCGCTCCCTGTAGTCAGCCCCACTCATTGCACTGGGATCCCTGATGGGGTCCAAGGCCACTCCACCCCAGGATTGGGTCCCCAAGCTTCCGGACACAGGGTCACTTCCCTCAACCAAGTCCGGTGCTGGGGCAGCCTCTGGCAGCCACCTAGTGCAGCACACTGAGCCACCAGCAGAGGGTGCCAAAGGCTTCCTCCAAGTTGGGCTCAAGCGAGCTCAGGTGAATATTGGCCAGGCAGGCAGTACCCACTGCAGAGAGGGTGCAGGAGAAACCATTGATACCACCAGCTGATGGTGAGCTGGGACTCACAGGTTCTAGGCTCTCTTTCTGATGCCTCTCTCAGCTTTAGCCTCACTTGTGACACACCCCTCCGGGGCAGACCTGGCAAACCTGGCTCACTCCCACCTGGCATGTGCTCCACGAAGGCCAGACGGGGTGATGGGCTTTGGGCCTTCTGGACATCTGGCCTGGGATGACTGCAGTGAGCAGAGTGGGTAGGTGTTGCGGGGGACAGTTTCCTGGGCCCCTCGCCTCTCAGAAACGTCCCCTCCGCTGGGGGCCTTTGTGATGGGTATAGAGGTGAGGGGTCTTCCTTGGCAGGTTCCACCCGGCCATGGTCAGCCCTCTGCCTGACAGCTCATAAAGAGGTGCAGGTTCCTCTGTCTCTAATAAAATGTGAAATGGGGCTGGGGATGTGCTCAGCGGTTGACTGCCTCTGAGTTCAATCCCTAGTTCCCTCCCCGCCAAAAAAAAAAAAAAAAAAAAAGAGGTGCAGCTTCAGGAGGCTCTAGGAGACAGACAGGTGGCTTCCAGGAGAAACTGGTTTAATCATGTGGCCTTAGAGCCCCCACCCTCATTTCTGGATGTGATGCTCTGTCCAGGGCTCTAAGATCACCAGTCACCAGCATGCAGCGCTTAGCTGGCCTGAGAAAGTTCCTGTCTGGGCTCTGCTGGATGGGAGTGGGTGTCGACAGCCATCGCTCCTTGGACTTTGAAAGGGTTACGGCACAGCGTGCCCCAAACCAGTGGGGCAACCATGGCTTCCTGTCCTGGAGCCCCTGCAGGCCATTTTTGGGGTACAGCATCCTGCGGGGGACAAACCTGGAGTCCAGGTCACCAGCCTAACCAGCCTGGAGCTCTGGCCCACCTGAGATAGGTGGGAACAGCTGGGAGCAGGTGCATATAAAATCAAGCAGCAGGTGGTGAGTGTCAAACTCCGGAGGCCAGGAGCCGACATACGCACGCACAGGGAGGCCAGAGAGGCCCTGCCCACCTGGGGAGTCCTGTGGCCTAGGGCTGATGGATGAAGGCTGGCACTGCCAGGTGGCAGGTTTGGCTGGGAGAGGCCTTGGTTTGGGTGGGTGAGTGGCTTGCAGCTGAGAGGCCATCCATGTGCATGGCTCAGCCTGAAGATAAGCCTACTGCCTAGAGGCAGATGAGCACCCCATCCAGCCCATGTGAGTCCTCAGTATAAAATAATACACATATAAAATAATACTCCGTGCACTGGGAGTGGGCCCACCACCCGTGCTGCCTCCCTCTGCAGCAAGGGTGGCAACAGTCCAGCCAGGTCTAGCTGTCCTCCACCCTCCTCTGGTTCTTGGAATGAAACTTGTTCATGAGTTCCTCCAACTCCGACCCACTTTGCTGCTTCTAGGGAGAAGGGATGAGGAGCTCAGACAAGGGGCCAGAGGCCACGACCCCACTTCTTCCCAGCACCCCAGGAGCAGGTAGGCGGGTGTACTGTGACAGAGGCACCGGAGCGGGGCGGCTCACCTCCAGCATCGCCTTCTGCACTGTGAGTTGGCTGTACACGCGGATGCCCTCCTCCCCGCACACCCTCTTCAGCTCATCTTTGTTGAGGGAGAAGAGCTGGGGTCCGGTCAGGATACCCAGGTTCTCCACGATCCTGGGGGTGGTAGAGAGTAAGGGCGCGGGGGTGGGCATGGCGGCAGGCGGCCACGACGACGGCTGCGTGCACTGGCGTGCACTTGCTCAAACCCGCAGCCCTCCCGCTCCCGCCACTCACCGGCCGCTGAAGGCCTTGGCTTCTAGCCAGGCACGGACCTCATCCGGGCCGGACTCAAAGGTGAGTGGCAGGTGCACCGGCTGGGTGCGCTCCACGCGGAAGTGCCGCTGCGGCTGCGCCTTGATGTGGCTAATTTTCTTCATGAGCTCATCGTTGACTTCATCCATGTGGTGGATCAGCTCTGCAGGAGCGTGTGCTGAGCCGTGGACCCGCGCAGGCCCTGGCTTCCCCCTGCCCTCCCAGGCCGCCCCGCACCTCCTTGCTCCCTCTCCATGTAAGCGCCCTCTCACCATCTTTGTTCCCTGCGAAGATCGGGGGCAGTTTATGCATCGGGCTGGCGGGACCCCAGTATTTCTGGCTGGCCTGCGGGGGCAGGTGGTGAGGTGGGTGCTCTGAAGACCTGCCCAGACCCCTACCTGGCTTGTGGGCCGGCCCTTCCTTCCCTGGGCCAAGACAGAGGAAGGAGCCTCTGCACAGGCTCTGGCCCAGGGCTGGGGTGCAGCGGTATTCCCAGGCTGAGACTCAGCTGTCCGCCCAACCCCACCCAGGGCAAACGACTGTGTTGTGAGGGTGGGGCAGAACAGAGCGGGCACCTGCTCCAGTGGGGCACCAATATCCTCTGGCCGAACCTCATCCAGGATGTTGCAGGGCACATAGCCAGACTGGCCACTTCGGCTGCGAAGCTTCCACCACTGCCGGCCATCCTCCAGTACCTGCGGTGTCCCGGGGCAATCAGGTCTACAGTTTTTCCTGCCCTTAGACCCCCACCCTCCCCAGCCACGGGCACTAGTGTGGTTGCTGGGACTACTCACATGAGCCACACTTTGCAGAGAGGCAGAGAGTGTGCCCCAGGTCTCCCCTGAGCTCAGCCCTCAGGCCCCTGTGCCTCCTGGCCCCAGGCTTCAGTCCTGGCTGGGGGGGGGGGGGGCTACCCCTGCCTGACCTTAGCAGGGTCCTGGACGGAGGATGCTTCCTAGCCTCACTGTGGATGTAAACCACCCCCCTGCCCCAGCCTGCTCCACTTTCTGTCCCTCAGTGAGTAGCCTGGATTCAGGTTTGGCACAGTGGCTGCAGGGGAAGGCTCCTGGGTGGCCATGAGTGACAAGCCCCTTCTCTGTTCACTGGAGGGCCCCCCACTTGGCAAAGTGACTGCCCAGCACACAAGGGTTCTGCACACCCTCGGGAATCCCCCAGACATGGAGGGCCCTCAGCAAGGCTGTGCTGGGAGTCGGGGAGATCCTGCCCCTGGACCCAGTTGGAACCCAGAGCTAGGGACCCTAGGGAAATAGGCCAGTGGCTGTGCCCATCCCGTTGTTCCACAGTTCGGTCACCTTCCCTGGTCAGGCTGACCCCTCACCTCTAGGACCTCATCCTTGAGCACGGACAGCTCGTTGGCATTGCGGGCTGTGAAGTCGTAGAGAATCTTCACGTACTTGGCCGTGGCTGGTGTTGGCTGGTGGCCCCTGCAAGGACCCAGAGGGACTGGTGCAGCAGCTTCCCAGGCACGCAGCGGCCTGGCTTCTGCTGCCCAGGTTGCAGTGGAGGAGGGGCTGTTGCTCACAGCCCGGAATGGAAACTGTGACAGCCCTGGAGGTGGAGTGGGCGGGAGGGGCAAGATGCAGGGCCTGGCCCACCAGAGCTGCCTCAGGGGTCTCCAGGCTTGCTCCCAGGGGAGTCAGCCAGCTGGGTGCCTGGGGGTGACAGGGTCATGGCTTTCCCCAGCTGACCACAGGGGCCAGGACATTTTCAGAGCCATAGCCCCTGGGTGCTGCCCAGGGCACTGGCCTGCAGGCTCTCTGGAGGTCTGGACCTACATCCCCAGGGGCATGGGTGGAGCTGTTGGTGCAGATCGAACACAGAACAGGACTGCTCCCTGTCCCACTGCACTGGGAGGAGCAGGGTAGAGGCCGCCAGGGTGAACAGACAGCTGCTGAGAACACTTCTGTGTAGCTCTACCTGGGGACCACAGGCCCATTGTGGGCCAAGGGATGGGCTTGTCTGGAATACGGATTTGCAGCCCCTTCCCTCCTGAAACCAGATTCTGGGATCTTGCAGGTTGCAAGTGCCCCAGGCAGACCCTGGGCCAGGAGTGAGGATACAGAAGTGGGGAGGCAAAGAGGGGTTCGCCCCTGGGTCTATTCTTTTTTTTTTTTTATGGTGCTAGGGATGGAACCCAGGGGTGTTCTACCATTGAGCTCCACCCCCAACTCTTTTTATTTTTTATTTTGAAATCTGGTCTCCCTAAGTTGTCCAGGCTGTTCTGAGAGTGAAAAGCAGCATTTTTAGCCACTTGAAGGAGGTGTTGGCCACCACCTGGTGGCAGCACACCCCAGTCCATACTTGGAGGGCGTCACACCACCTCCCTGTAATGGGGCTTACCTGTGGGAATGTGGGGAGCTGACTGGTGGTAAGACATCCCCCTGGGGTGTGGACTCAGAGGAGAGACTGTGTTTCGGGGAGTTTCTTATGGATAGTCGGCTCACAGGGGTGGGCTGTGGGGAAAGCAGGGCTTGATGTCGGGTGGAGGCCAGGCAGTGCCAGGCAGGGTCCCAGGACAAGGGGCACAAGACAAAGACTTGGTGAACGTTCTGTGACCTGGCAGGCCGGGCCTGGGGCAGCCCCAGCTGTGGCTCCAGGAGTGGCAAGGGCAGCAGTTGGCAGGGGTTGGGGAGGCAAACTCCAGAGGGGTGGGGTCTGACCTGGTCATTGGGGTCAGAGGCCAGTCCTTCCATCTCCCAGGGAGCCTCCTGCAGCACCTCCAGAGGCGGTTCCCAGCCACTGTGGAACTTGGGCACGTACAGGGGCACCTGTGGCTCCTTCGGCCACTCAGAGCTGGGGTGGGCAGTGCCGGGGTCAGCCAAGACTCCCACTGGAGCTGGCCCACCCAGGACCCCATCCTGGTCCAGGCCCTGCCCCTCACCCTGTCCATACCGGGGCCGTGTCCAGGTGTCCCCCAGGGACTCCCACAGTGACATCTCCTTTGGTACCAGGTGGCCACGTAGGAAGGCCACAGCCTCCTGGGAGAGCAGTGGGCTGAAGACAGAGCGGGCGAGGTCTGGGCCTCCGCAGGTGTTGACGATCTGGGGGATGGTGTGGTTCAGAGGGGCGCCCCGGCCTGCAGCTGCACAGCTGGCCACCCTGGGTCCCCACCCCCATCCGCCCCACCCGCCCCAGCCCCAGGCACCAGGTCCAGAGGCCCGAAGAGGAAGTGCACCAGCTCCGCCGCACTGGGGTTCTGGATGTGCTTCTGCAACTTGGCCTGGAGGGAGCGGGCAGGTGACAGGTGGCAGGGAGCGGGCAGGTGACAGATGGTGTGGGGGAACCTCCACCCTCACCACCAGCACAGGGCAGGCCTGGACTCACCAGGAGATTGATGGCCAGCTTGGTTTTCTGGAAACAGTCGACAAACTCACCCTCAGAGGGGGGCCGGGCACGCAGCGTGAGGACGCCCTCTGGCACAGGGTGGAGGCCATGAGCCGGCTGGCCGTCTGATGCTGAGCCCCCCCAGGCCAGCCGTCCCCAGCTCGGGGCCCTGCGCCGCCCCCCGCGCACCTGCCGGCCCCTTCTTGCCCTTCTTCTTCCCTTTCTTCCGCTGGTTCAACTGCTTGAAAGCCTCGGCCGCCTTCTGTAGCCGGGCCACGAACCACTCGATGTCGTCCAGGGCGCAGTTGAGGATTTGCTGGGGTCAGAAGGGCGGGGGTGGGCTTCAGACCTCCACCCACTTTGGGGCTGCTCTACAGGCAACAGGCCATCTGGGCCCATGGCAGGGGGGGCCAGGAAGGCCCGGCAGGGGGTGGGAGGGCACCCACCGTCTCCTTCTCTATCCTCTGAGCCAGCACCGCCCGAGGCTCCTCATCCTGCGATTCCCGGCGGCGGTAGCCTGGTGGGGACAGAGCAGCTGCCCAGGGGCCCCGCAGACCCCACAGGGAGCCCCGCAGACCCCACAGGGAGCCCCGACCTAGCCCTAGGCCTACCTGGCTCTGTGACTGGTGCTGGCAGGCCCACGCGGTTCTTGGCCTGAGGAGAGTCCCCAGCCTGGCGCTGAAAGGGGATGGGAGCTGGGCTCTGGGGAGGTGGCAGGATGGACTGCCGCTGCCGGATCTTCTCCTGGTGCCCCCTGGGGGGGAGAGGAAGGCCTGCTCAGCAGGCCACCACCCCAGTCCTGGGCAGCTGCCTCCCCTGTGCCCTCCCTGCCCTGGTGAGAGCCCAGCTCCCCATGGTCCCCATGGCCCTACTTCAGGGTCTGTGGCCGCAACTTCTTCCCCATCCGGCAGTCAGCCAGTGCGCTCTGGATGTCCTCCTGCACCAGCTCCGCCTGGGGGCACAGGGGCATCAGGCTGGTTCAGCGGGGTGCCTCACCCGCCCCTGCCAGCTGCCTCACCTCCACCTCGTCACAGTGGAAGAAGTGCACGTCGGGCCTGCTCTGCTCGGAGTCCTGGCACACCAGCAGCAGCACCGAGGGGTAGCGCAGCTGGTTCAGGACCGTCTGGCTGTGCAGCACGGTGGGCAGCGGGAAGTTCTCCAGCTCTTCCTGGGGGCAGAGGGCAGGCCGTTACGTGGCCTCAGCCGGCCCTGGACACAGATGTGGGCTGTGGCCACAGGCATGGAATGGACCACAGATGTGGCCAAGAAAGGGACCAGTGCCCTGCCCGAGGTGTGATGGAGCAGCATGTGCTCCTGGGACACAGACGTGGCAGGAACTTGCAGGGGCAGGACAGACCAAGTCCAGGGACAGGACTGACACTGCTCACACTGCAGACACATCTTGAGTACAGACCCCATGGACACAGTCAGGCCTGCTGACTGCAGCCTGTGAGCCTCTTGCAACTGGACACAGCCTGGCCCCGCTGCAGGTTGCTGCCTGGGCTCTGGCCAGGTTGATCCTGCTGGCCCTTGGCCTCGTCCTCTTCCACATGCTCACCCCAGAGACCCGGCACCCATGGGAGCCCAGTAGACAGCAGCCTGCTCCACCAGCCTGACCTGGTTCTCAACATCCAGCAGCCGCAGGGCCTTGTCGTCCACCTGCAGCAGCACCTCCTGTGCCCAGACCTTCTCCTTGGCACTGAGCTGCACCAGCTTCCGGATGGCGTCTTCCACAGATGCGATGGCCTCGCTCTTGTCCATGATGAATGTGGCCAAGTGCTGGGGGGCAACAGTCACTACTGGGTTCGGCCGTGCTTGTGCCAAGGCCCAGGCCCAGGGCTGGGGGCCCCAGCCAACCCAGGGGGTCCTGCAGGGCCACAGCTTTATCTCAGGTGGAGGCGCCCCTATTCTGCCCTGGTTGACATCTTTGGGGATCACAGTTGTGCACTGATAAAACCTGAAAGCATTCCTGACTGCCCGGCCACCTGGGGCACTCCTCTGCCCTCCCCACCTCTTGCTGCTAGGCCCTGCTCCTCTCTCAGGACCTCACACTACATCTGTGTGTTGGGCCTGAGGCAGGTCCTGCCCTTAGGATGCCCTCACCCAGAGCAGTCGGATCCGGGATTGGCTTCTAGGGGACATGGGTGGAAAGAGCGCATCTGGGGGTCTTCTGCAGCCTGGCCTGGCCTGGCCTGCCCCCAGGAGCTGCCCTCTACCTCATCAGTAAAACCCTCCCACAGAGCTTCAGGCTTCAGTAAACAATGCTGGGACAGGTGGATAAACTAGCTAGGCCAGGACATCAGACAACACAAAGCCACAAAAGCACTAGAGAAAATAGACGGTGATTTCTCACCAAGTCTAAGGGAACTTTCTCCACGGGGCACTTTCCCCAGCAAGGTGGAAAACACACGAGCTCAGAAGAAGAGACTAACCAATCTGACAATAAAAAAAGATTTCTGACTGGGTATCGCTCAGCCGTGGAGTGCTTCCTAGCATGCACAGGCCGGGTTCAATCCCTAGCACCAAAAAATAAAAAACAGCCAGATGCAGTTCAAGGCCAGCCTCAGTGATTTAGTGACACTTTCTCTAAACAAACAACAACAATAAAAAGAAATAAAAAGGGCTGAGGATGTAGCTTAGTGGTGGAGCTCTCCCAGATTCAGCCCAGTATCCCCCACACACACACAAATAAAGGATATTGATAATAAGTAAGTAAACAAATAAATACTTAGGTAAGCACACAATAACACTGCAACAGAAAATTGCCAAAGGATCTGAGCACAAAGAAAACAAATATAAATAACTTTTTTTTAGTTGTACATGGGCATAATACCTTTATTTTATTTATTTATTTTTATGCAGTGCTGAGGATCAAGTGCAGTGCCTCGCAGGTGCTGGGCAAGCGCTCTACTGCTGAGGCACAACCCCAGCCCTGTAACTTTTTAATACAGAAAACTTTATGTAAATCTCATTGAATAAAAGAACCACACATTGAAACTCTGAGCCTTTATTATTTTAGCAATAAGTCACTGTCTTTTTCACCTATTCTACTGTCCAACCCTCGAAGTCACTGGGGTACATCATGGTTCAGATGTGGAGACAGGCAATGTCACCTAGCACCTGCCAGCCTCCTGTGCAGAGGCTGGTGACATCTATAAAGGCACACATCTTCCCTCCCAGCTCTGCTGCAGGTGGCCTGTGCAGGTGCGGTGTGGCACTGGGCAAGGCTGCTCCCCGCAGAGCCACTTGCAATAACAAAGACTGGGTGCGACTCACATGGCCATCAACCAGAGAAAGAGTGAGTGGGCGAAAACACACAGCAGAATCCGAGGGGGCTGTGTGGGGCGGAGCAAACCTTGAAATGCACGCTGTTAGCACAACACAGAACAACCCACCAAATGAAACCAAGCTGCTAGGCCACCAGCAAGCTTAGGACATCTCACATGGCTGAGACCACATAGGGGATGCTCTTGGACCATAATGAAATTAAAGTCAGATGAATATCAAAAAGTTAGATAGAAAATCCTCAAATGTTTGGAAATCAAGCTACATAGTTCTAAATAACCCATGGGTCAAAATTGAAGTCACAAGGAAAAGTAAAATATATTCTGGGGTTGGAGATATATCTATATCTATATCTATATCTATATCTATATATATCTTGTGTTCTGTCCCCAGCACCACAAAAAAATTCTGAACTGAAGTATAATAAAAACAGGCATAATATATTATAATTGGTGGACTACAACTAAAACTGCTGGCTCTCCCACCCCCCGACTCCCCAGTGCTAGGGATTGAAACCAGGAGTGCTCTAGCAGTGATCTATA